TTATCCATAATTTGTTATGATCCACACAATCAAATGCTTTTGCATAGTCAATAAAACACAAGTAAACATCTTTCTGGTATTCTTTGCTTTCAGCCGCAATCCATCTGACATCAGCAATGATATACCTCATTCCATGTCCTCTTCTGAATCCAGCTTGCTTTTCTGGAAGTTTTCTGTCAATATACTTCTGCAACCATTTTTGAATTATCTTCTGTAAGATTTTGGGAGCTCTGGTGGCCTAGGACCTAAGGCATTTGACTGCTAACCAGAAGGCTGGCGGTTCAAACCCAATAGCCATTCCTCAGAAAGAAGATTGGGCAATCTACTTCCATAGTGATATTGTCTCAGAAACCCAAGGAGGGGTTGGTATGAGTTGTATCCGACTCATAGCAGTGGGTTTTTTTTTTGTTGTTGTTGTTCAGTAAGATTTTACTTGTGTGTGATATTAATGATACTGTTCAATAATTTCCACATTCTGTGGGATCACTTTTCTTTGGAAAGGATACAAATATGGATCTCTTCCAGTCAGTTGGCCAGGTAGCTGTCTTCCAGATCTGTTGGCATAGACGAGTGGGTGCCTACAGCACAGCATGTTTGTTGAAACATGCTCATCTCAATGGGTATTCCTTCAATTCCTGGAGCCTTGTTTTTTTGCCAATACCTTCAGTGCAGCTTCAACTTCTTCCTTCAGTACCATTGGTTCTTGATCATATGCCACCTCCTGAAATGGATGACCACCAACCAATTCTTTCTAGTACAGTGACTATGTATTCCTTCCATCTTCTTTTGATGTTTCTTGCATTGTTCAATATATTGCCCATAGAATCTTTCAGTACTTCAACTTGAGGCTTAAATTTTTTCCTCGTTTTTTCAGCTTGAGAAATACCAAGTGTGTTCTTCCCTTTTGGTTTTCTAACTCTAGGTGTTTGCACATTTCATTATAATAATTGACTTGTCCTCTTGAGCTGCTCTTTGAAATCTTCTGTTCAACTCTTTTACCTTGTCATTTCTTCCATTTGCTTTAGCTACTCTCCACTCAAGGACAAGTTTCAGACTCTCTTCTGACATCCATTTTGGTCTTTTCTTCCTTTCCTGTCTTTTTAATGACTTTTTGCTTTCATCATGGATGATGTTTTTGATATCATCCCACAATTCCTTTGGTTTTTGGTCATTGTTGTTCAACGCATCAAATCTATTCTTTAGATGGTCTCTAAATTCAGGAGGAATCTAAACAAGGTGATATTGTGGCTCTCATTGACTTGTTTTAATTGTCTTCAGCTTCAACTTGAACTTGCATATGAACAGTTGATGGTCTTTTCCACAATCAACTCCTGGACTTGTTTTGACTATAGATAATGAGCTTTTCCATCACCTCTTGCCACAGATGTAGTCAATCTGATTCCTGTGTACTCCATCTGGTGAAGTCCACATGTATAGCCATGGTTTGTGTTGTAGAAAAAAAGGTATTTGGAATGAATAAGTCATTGGTCTTGCAAAATTCTATCATGTGATCTCCAGCATTACTTCTATCACCAAGGCCAAATTTTCCAACGACTGGTGATTCTTCTTTGTTCAACTTTTGCATTCCAGTCACCAGTGATAATTAACACATCTTGATTGCATATTTGGTCAATTTCAGACTGCAGAAATTGATAAAAATCTTCAATTTCCTCATCTTTGGGGTTGGTGGTTGGTGAGTAAACTTGAATAATAGTAGTATTAACCAGTTTTCCTTGTAGGCATATGGATAATATCCTATCACTGACAGCACTGTACGTCAGGATAGATCTTGATACATTCTTTGTGATGATGAATGCTACACCATTCCTCTTCAATTTCTCATTCCTGGCATAGTAGAGCATATGATTGTCTGATTCAAAATGGCCAAAACTAGTCCATTTCAGCTAACTAATGCCTAGGATATTGATTTGTATGTGTTCCATTTAATTTTTGACAACTTCCAATTTTCCTAGATTTATACTTTGTACATTCATGTTCCGATTATTAATGGATGTTTGCAGCTGTTTCTTCTCACCTTGAGATATGCCATATCAGCCAATGGAGGTCCCGAAAGCTTTATTCTGTCCACATCATTAAAGTCAGGTCTACTCTGAGGAGGCATCTCTTCCCCAGTCTATTTTGAGTATGTTCTGACCTGAGGGGATCATCTTCTGACACTATATCAGACAATGTTTCAGGGCTATTCATAAAGTTTTCCAGTAATATATCAGGCAGTGTTTCACTGCTATTCATAAGGTTTTCACTGGCCAGTTCTATGAGAAATGGATAGGCTCTTCCTTCCTCCGAGTCAGTCTTAGTTTGGAAGCTCCACTGAAAGCTGTCCACCATGGGTAACCCTGCTGGCATTTGTAACACTGGTGCCATGGCCTCCGGCCTCACAGCAACATGCAAGCCACCACAGTATGACAAACTGATAGACAAATTCGTCTCCCTTAGCTGTTCCAAACTGCTCTGCTTGCTTCCTGGTCTCCCTCAGTTACTCCAAACTCTAGTACAAACCTTCTTATTGTGCCTAAAGGATCAGAATGGGAAGGACCTGAAATGGGGGCCTTCAGGGTAGGAAAGAATTGCTATGTCCATGGAAATATCTTGGAAAATAAGAGTAGGGCTGGGAGAAGGATTGAGGGTGGTGGAGCATTATTTCCATGGATTTTGGTTAAGACGGGAGATGAAAGGTACAGGATCTGCCAATCAGGGTCATTTGCCATGAACATGTCAACAAACAAGTTCACATGCACTTTTAGCAGGTTTTCAGTGGGATAGACAAGTTAACCAAAGGTTAATTCTCATGTACAACTCAAAAGTAATGATGTGAACATAGCTATTTGGGGTATTTGGCCAAGGAAACCAAATTGTACTTTCAGATTATGCTAGATAGGTTGTTTTGTGTAGTCTTGCCAGATATATTATATTCCTTGTGCCAGCCTAAGAAGTCAGCTTGGAGTCTAACTATTTGCTCAATTGGCCAAAACAAACCTAGATTCAACTTTGGTCCATAAGTGCTGGTACTCAAGAGGTTCTTCTAAGTGAGGTGAAAGGAATTCAGAAGTTTCCAGAGAGACCAGGAATGATAATACAGGTTGTTGTTGTTGTTGTTAGGTGCTGTCGAGTCATTTCTGACTCATAATGACACCATGCACAGCAGAATGAAACACCGCTCAATCCTACGCCAGCTCCATGATTCTTGCTATATTTGAGCCCATTGTTGCAGCCACCATGTCAATCTATCTTGTTGAATGCCTTCCCCTCTTTCGTTGACACTCCACCTTACCAAGCATGACATCCTTCTCCAGGGAATGGTCCCTTCTGACAACATGACCAAAGTAGGTGAGATGAAGTCTGGTCATTCT